AGCAGTGCCCGGTACTCTCCATCCAAAGGCTCGCTGTCCCCAGGCCCAAAACCTCACCCTGCCCCTCCTTCCAGGTTCCCCAGCCCCTGTGCTGGCCTGAGGCCATCCTGCTTGATGCCACTAGTGACAAATGTATCAAATCTGAAGCCACTAGTGACAATGTATCAAACCCACATCTCTGGTCCAGAGGTGCTGCCCGGGCGGGCGTTGCCATGGCAACCAGAGGCAGCAGGAAGCCTGCGCCCAGCTGCCACACAGTGAGCCGGGCAGTGTGGGGTTTCTGCTCTGTTGGCTCCACACTGGGTATGTTCAAATCCTGGGAGATGGCGGCCTCCAGCCCTGCCCTGCCCTGCCCCACCCGGCCCTCTGGCCCCTTCCCTCCTGGCCTAACAACCAGCACCTGCATTTAAATGCCCAAGTAATACGCACCACGCTTCCAAACACCACCAGACACAGGAAAGAGGCTTGTGTGCTCTAATTCTGTCCAGCAGTGACCACCAGCAATGGTTTTGTCTGTATCATTCCTGAGTGTTTTTTTTTGGCGGGGGGTATCTTAATAAGATGAAACTCTACTGTAAAAACAAAAAAACAGCACCATAGGCTTTGGGGGCCTGAGAGGGCTTTCCACCTCCCTTCCCCAGAGTCCCGGCGGCTCTGCTCTGCCTGTTACCCCGTCACCAGCTGTGCTCTGCACCCCACAGAGTCCTCCCTACTCGATTCCAAGGACAGGCATCTGTGGAGCTGTGCCCAGGTCACAGGGCAAGCAGGGGTGGCCAGGGATCGGCCTAGTTCCAACCAGAGGCTGTGGGTCCTGACAGCACCCGGCAGGCGGGATCTAGCCTCAACCCGGGCGGCCTGGGCTCTCTCCAGACCAAGCAAGCAGCCCGTGGGGACTGTCCACGCAAGGCTTTATTACACAGCAGATGCACAGGGCCCCAGACCAGGAGGCCAGCAGAGGGACTGCACTGACCAGGGGCAGCAGGCTGAGCCCGCCCCCACTCAAACCCCTCAAAGGCCCAGGGGTGAAGATGATGGCACTGACCAATGGGGGAGGGTGCTCCCCTCAGTGGGCAGATGAGGCTGGCACTGTCTGAAGAAGGTGGCAATGGTATCTGTCTCCAGGGTGTCACTGCACCAGCCACACAGCCATGGCAGGAGCCCCAGAAAGGCTCCGTTCAGGTTATGGCCACCCCAGCACCGGGGAGAGTGTCCCAGCTCCTGACCACCCTGCCTACCACTTCCCTACTGTGGCCAGTCCCCTGGGACTGAGTATGTAAAAGCCTGTGTGAAGGTGTGTTCCTGGAACCTGACAGCGGGGAGCTTCTGCCCTTCAGGTCCTTCCGCCTGGCTCCGCAGAAACGTCCAGGGCGCTTGGCCCTGTGTCCAGCTCCCCAGGCCTTGGGCTTCTCAAGAGGCTGGCCAGACTAAAGGCCTCGTGAGAGGGTGAGGCGCGATCGTCCAGCCTCGGCTGGGGGACAGCCCAACCCTCAGACGGCACGGAGACAGAGGGCACTTATCACACGAGATGGCACCGACAGAGCTATGTGAACCTGCTATTAATCAGGCACTTAGATGACATCATTTATTTTGTGGCCCTCCGTGTGAACCTTCTGCCCGCTCCGGCCAGCACGGACACAGGGGCTGGGCTCGGCAAGTGTGCGCACGCCTGGTGCGTGTGGGTACCACGCAGGGCTCTGCAGATGCTTCCAGACAGGCCAGAACCCCAGAGATACTTCAGGCAGGGCAGATGGAGAGAAGGTGCCAGAACCTGAAGTCCCGGTTGTGATCCCTCAATGACACAGATGGGGCAAGAAGACAAGACGGACAAAGCAGCAGCTCCCCCCTCCCCAGCAGGCAGCTCCCCCCACCCAGGTGTGGCCGGGAGGGCGGGGCTGACCGCAGCACCCCCCCCTCACCCCCCTCGCCCACCCGCCCACCCGACGGCGACTCCCACACCCAAACAGAAACAGATGAGAACTGAACGGAAATATATTTTGAAACGCTCATATTTGTTTTTCCTCTCACGTTTTCTCTCTGTATCTCCTTCCCACAATTCCAAGACCCCTGTTGATGAAACCCTGGCATCTGCCCCCCATTTCAGAGGATAATTACTTGGGGAAGGAATTTCACAGTCAAGAGTCGCAGGAAGACTGGCGGACGACGAGGGCACCGCGAGGCCGTGCAACTTGCTGAAAGGGGAAGAAAACCCTGAACGTGCGCGCGTGCGCGGCGGCCCTTCCGCCACAGGCCGTCAGGCCGTCGGCCTGCCGCGGTTTAGTCCGGGGAGGCCTCCGCCGCCCCACGGCCCGTGCAGCCTCGACCACTAGAAGCGGAATCACAACAGGTCCCGTCCTGCCACGGCATCCAGTATACATGAGGGATAAAATTACATTTGTACAAAAATAGATTCTTTTACCTTTCCCGACGCGCTAGACAGGTTCTCTCATCTTTACTCTCTGGCTGTGGCCGCCTGTGGCAAGCGTCCCCCACACACCAGCCAAAACCGCCCAAGGCCAGGCCGGGCGCCGCTGGGCTCCTCGGCATCTGAAAATAGATGCAGCTCCTCGCCTCGCGCCAGTCGCGGCCCCGGTTCCGTGGAAGGGTCCTCAGGTGCGCGCGCACGTGAAGCGAATTTACAGGGGAAAGTCTCAATTAAAAACAAACACCGAGCATTGGTAACGGCGACTCGGCTCCTGCCAGCGGCTGGTCTGGCCAGGAGCGCTGCCTCTGTCCGGCATGTCCGTGCCCATGCCACACTGCGAGGACGGGGTCAGGCGGTGCACACCAGGGCCGTGACGGGCACGTCAGCTGATTACCCCGCACTCCAGCCCAGCCCTCCTGGGGACTCCAGGGGAGGGGCTCCGTGCCGCCTGCACTGTCACGGGGCTGCCAGCCTGGAATCCTCGGGGACTGTGGCTTGGAAGATCGCTGAGTCTCCCCAGAAGCGATGTTTTCAGGTTGATGAGGGCTGGCGGCCGCCACCAGCGCCCACCTGAGGGACGGATCCCAGGCAGGCCACACCGCTCCACCTTTGCTTCTCAGCCACAGAGGCCCCATCAGAACATGGGGGGGGGGGACAGCCAGGTCAGTCCTCAGTGGCAGCCAAGGCAAGGATGGGCACGAGGTGGCTAATGCGCTGATGTTAGTGCTATCTTTAGAAAATTAAAGATTGTCCCACCAAAATAATATTACCAAAAGAATCACCTTAATTGAGCCAGATTGGTAACACTACTGAAGTTCTGGTTAAGTAAACAAGCACCCTAGCTCCTCACCGGGTAACATGGCATGGCCCACAGCCGGTGCTGTGCACAAAAATGGTGACAATGGACAAAGGATGAGGGACAGGAAGCCCAGGGGGAGTCGGTGACGGCGAGGGGTGGTGGGCAGACCAGAGGGGCTGAGGGCCTGGCTTCAGGGGGCCTCAGTGCTCCCTAACCAGCCGGACCCTGTTCAGCAGGGCCAGGGCACACAGCTCAGCAGAAGGCACACGCTTGGTGTGGAGCAGGGGCCCTTGCTGGCGTAGCCAAAGGGAGAGTCTGGCAGGGGGAGGGGGGAACGAGGGGGACGGGACAGAGAGAACAGATGCTGGCCCTGGTACCGTGTGAAGCCACTGTGTTGAAAGGAGGAGCAGGTGGTAGGAAGATGTTTCTGGAATCCTTCACAGTCTCTAACCATCTGACTCTACCCAGGTGCCTCCGCTGACTGTAGTAGCTGGGGGGCTCTTGGAAGGCAAGGACTGGAGAAGCCCTTCCCACAGAGCCCAGGAACCAGTTCCTCCCAAGACCCACCCAAAGGGAGGCGGCAGCTCACTCCGAGCAGCTGTGGAGAGCCGAGGGCCTTCCCGGCGACAGCCTGCATCCCTCAGCCCCTCCATTCGGGCACCTGCTCCGACAAACCCGGCCCCCAGGGTCTAAGACTTTACGTGACACGTACCGGGGCCACCGTGAGGCGCACGGTGCAGAAGAGGCTGTCCAACCTGAGAGTGCCTGGTAGGGTGAGGGGCGGGGCGGGGCTGTGCAGGGCAGGTAGGGTGAGGGGCGGGGCGGGCGGGGAGGCAGGAGGGGCCCAGACCCAGCCAGAGCAGAGACATGGACCCAGTTCAGGCTCCGGGCAAATGTCATCTGCAGATACCCAAGGCCGCTCGGGACCCCCAAAGGCCAGCGAAGAGGCTCACGCAAGCCCCCACAGTGCACCAGGACACGGCACCTCTGCCCCCACCTGCATGGCTCCTTCATCCACAAGTCCCTGTAACTAACTGCCCATGGCCAGCAGCCTTCTTCCAACAGAGCCTGCAGCAGGACGGCCACGTGCTTCTCACAAGGCCACCTGAGACTGGGCTAGCCCTCGGCCCACCACACTGACGGAGGACGCACGGACGGGAGGAGGGGCCGTGGCACTGTGGTCTTATTGCCCTGGGTGGATGGGAACGTGGGGTGGCGAGAAGCTAAAACTGAGACAATGATGCAGACAGGAAACAGGCAAAGCGACCAAGCGGCCCTGGCCCCCGAAGCCTGCTCTGGCCCCCAAATGTGGCCCTTTGGGGTCCCCTGTCCTTAGCTCCAGGGACAACGTCCCAAGTTATCTTTGGAAAAGAGGCATGCCACCTCTGAACTCTGCAGTGGGAGCTCTGCAAGCCGGTCCCTGCTTGACTTCCAGGGCCGATAGCTCTGCAGTGACACACAGCCTTGTCCCTGTCTACCCCTTCCTGTCCCCAAGCAGGGGACCAGGACTCCAACAGGTGAGGATCACCCCAGACAAAGACTCGGAGAACCAGCAACAGCAGACGGAGGCCAGAACAAGCCCCTCCCAGCTCCTGCAGCTCTGGGTCCAGCTACCTGAGCCCCCCTGGGGCATGGCAGGGCACCCCAAGAGCCTGCTAGAATGGAGAAGGGCCTGGCTGGGCCTCACACTCGTTCTGGCCACCTCAGCCACTGCCCCAGGAGAGCACCACCCTGGGCCAATAACAAGCAGTAATAAAGGTTAACAAGAATGGAAACATCTCTCGAGCTGCAGTGACACACTGCACCCAAAGGTCCACACGGGCCAGGCAGGGGGGTGGGGCAGGCACAGGGCTGGAGCCGGGCAGGGCAGCTGTGTCCAGGCGGGGCACCAGACTGGGTGGCACAAGGGCCAGCTGGTGGGCCTAGGTCATCTGGTGTGGGGCCTCCAGCATTTCCATGAGGAAGGTGTCGATGGGCGTGTCCCCGATGAGCTTGAAGAAGAACAGGTGCTCCAGGCACTTGAGTCCGATGGAGCGCAGGGCTGGCAGGCGGAGCAGGAGCTTAGCGAACCTGCAGGAGAGCAGGCAGGTGAGGGGCGAGCAGGCAGGTGAGGGGCCGCAAGGAGGCCGGGTGAGGCCATCTTCTCGGCCCAGTGCCTGGAGGCCCACAGGAACCTGATGCCGAGTGAGCGGGCAGGCCCGGTCTGCAGTAGGAAGGAGGCTCCACTGGGGCAGGAGAGCTCTGGGCAGCAAGATGAGTGGAAGGGCGGGGCAAAGGCCCCCCAGGATGCGAAGTGGCGCTCGCAGACCTACTCCAGCGTGCCAGGGAGCCCCGTGGAGCCATAGGCTGGGAGCCAGCTACCCGCAAGCGTCTCTAGGATGCCCCCAGAGATGGAGGGGCCTCCAGGAAGAGGGGGGGGCGCCCTGGAGGAGGCAGGCTACACATGGACCTGAAGGATACTTAGTATATGACTGGGAAGCCACGGGCTGGGGGACCCTGCCTGAGGTGGGCTGGGGGTTCTGTGCTAGAAGCAGCCCGTCCTGTAGAGTCCCGCCTCCTGGGAGCCCTCCCTCCCCCACGCTGTGAGCTGTCTCTCACAGGAAGAGCTCTGCTGGGCTGGCAGGAAGGCAGGATGCCAGGCAGGGTGCTGCCGCCCCCCCCCCCCAGGCAGGGGGAGGGGAGGGGAAGGGACATGAGGACAGCCACTGCAGACCAGAGGACCACGTCGGGTAGACAGGGCAGCCCCTCCTGATCCCCATGTCTGTCCCAGGCCTCCCCCACAGGGCCCTGCCCGCGTCCCTCCACACAGGACCCTTGGGGGCTTGGGGCTGCATTAATTATTAACGGCCTCTTTCATTTCCAGGGGAGGAAGGCCTGTGGTGGGCTGCCTCTTAACCCCGTTTTAAAGGCCCAAATGTCCGAGGCCTGGAGGCTGGAGTGGGGCCAGAGGACGGGCTGTTTTCTGCTGAGCTGGTGAAATGGGCTGAGGCAGGAAGCCAGGAAAAACAAGCCCGCCCCGTCCTCCACAAAGTTTTACTTTAAACCAAACCAGATGAGGGCTAAGCAGCAGTGCCGACAGTTAACTGTGTGTGTGCCAGTCGGGGCAGCGCTGGGCCCCACCCTGGCCTCTCACTCCTCAGCTGTAGACCCTGAAACTAGGAGGTTGCTCTGAGGAAAGGTAAAATGGGGCTGTGAACGCAGTCCCTCCTCCTGGACACCAAGTGTGCACACAGTACCCTGAATCCCGCGTGGGTCCCAGGCCTCCCGGACAGCAGCCACCTTACTCTGCACAATGGTAAAGCACCTAATACGTGCTGCAGCCACTGGGCCTCCAACAGGCCTGTTTCAAGGTAGGGAGAGTGCGCAGCTGCACCACCAGAGCTAAGCACCTACTACGTGCCAGCGCTGGGAGGGGCTGCTGAGTGAGGTGTTGTGTTGGCCTCAGCCCCTCGCCTGGGATGTGCCAGGGTACACCTGCAGAGGGCACAACACCTGAGTGCACACAGGCCCCCGGCGTCCGGAGGCTGTGCCCAGGATGGGCATGGGGCAGGCATGGGGCAGGGGCTCTCCTCTGGTTGTCTGAAGCAAAGCGGGCTCACCTGCCCGGCTGCTCCGGGTATTTGTGTTTGCAGTAAGCCTCCAGAGATGCGTAGACCTTTTCCCTCAGAGCTTCTACCTCGGCTGGGTTCGAGAGCCCCTTGGAGTCTGCAGGGAGAGAAGCCTCCAGTCAGAGCCCCGACCCTGAGCTGTCCCTGGAACCACCCTGGGGGACTTGGGCCTGCGGGGCTGGCTCCGGTCCCACACAGGACGCAGCAGATAGGGCAGCCGTGCAGCGGGCCAGGGCCGCTGCTCAGCCCCAGTGCGAGCCGTGTGTGCAACCCACAAGCAGACTGCTCTGGACCCCAGCCTCGGCTCTGCCTCCCAAAAGCCACACCACCTCAAGCCAGCTCCTTGACCTCCAGAGACTCAGTTTCCCTGCCCATACAGTTTCAAGCATCTGTCCCCACTGCCATGGTAACCAGATGAGACTATCGAGTCAGAACTGAGGGTGCACACACTCCTCCAGAAATCCCAAGCCCATGCGGTGGGGAGAGGCCCGGAATGCCCTTTTTGGAGTCTGGGACCCCATGCACAGCTCAGGACCCTGAGGCCAAAGCTCAGTCTGCATGGAGACACTATGGCCACAGTCACCAAAACCACCAGTGTGATCACCAAGGGTGGCCTGGGCTTTCTGGAATGTGCCAGGCTCCTCTGGCTGATGCAACTTCAGCCAGTTCTTCCCCCTGCTCCGCCCTCCCCCCACGCCCCGTACAGCCCTATGCCTGGGTATGCCAACACCTACAGCCCAGCCATGAAGGGCTAGATGAGTCAGAGCCCTGGAGCATCTCAAGAGGCTTAGCCTCATGAGGCCCTCTGGCTATTCTCCACGGCCACCCCACCCCCAGCAGCCAGACATCCTCCCCCCCCCACCCCCCAGCGGGCGTCTGCTCCTGCTCAGCCCGCCCCCCCGTCCCCCCCTCGCCAGCACAGCGGGCATCTGCTCCTGCTCAGCCTGCCCCCCCCCAGACAGCACAGCGGGCGTCTGCTCCTGCTCAGCCCCACCCCGCCTGAGCAGCTCTCTAGGGCCCCCGTGCATGCTGTAGCCGTACCAGGGTTGAAGAGGACGATGGCGCGCAGGCAGCCCAGCTCCGTCTTGTCCATCTGCATGTCCCGCATTTTGGATACCAGCTCTGTCAGCACCCTACGGGAGGAGGAGGTAGGTCCAAGGCCCAAGTCAGCCCAGGCTCCCCCCAGAACCCCCACTAAACAGGACCCTGAGGGCAACTGGACGGGCCGGGCAGGCAGAGCTGTCCAGACAGGGCTGGAGAGGAAGAAGGTTTAACTGAGCACAGGTGTCCACCCATCTGGCTGGAGGTGTGGTCCTGGAGCCCAGTCACCCAGGCCAACAAGGGACCCAAGGGCAGGACCTTGGCCTCGTAGGCCTATCTGGACCCATGTATTTTTGCCTAGCTGTGGACAAAGTTCCAGCGACCTTGTTCCCATCGACCTATGGAGGAAGGCCTTTCCGTGGGCCTGGCCTCTCCGAGTGGGAGCCACGGTGGGAGGAGCCCACTCTCATTGGCCTCCACACTGCCTCCTCCCCACAGCGCAGCCTCAGCCCGCCACCCCATGGAGTCCACAGCAGGGCTGGAGCCGGAGCTGGAGGTCTCAGATCGCACCAGCCTGTCTGTCCCCAGCCCCCTGAAGTCCACCCCTGACTCCAGAATGTGAGCACTGTATCCAGGAAGCGGGAGCGGTTGGCAAGGATGGGCGACAGGGGAGGACAGGGTGTGGCCCACGGGAGTCCCGGATGGCTCCCCTCAGGAACCCAAACTTCCCCACAGGCCACAGGAAGGGGGTGGGGACAAGTGTGCGGGCTGGAGGCTGGTGAGGTTCCTGGAGATCAGCCGGGTACCCGGGGCTGAGAGAAGAGCAGCTCAGAGGCCTGGGCAGCTTCAGGACAGTGGGAACCCCAGGTGTCAGCCCTGGGCAGATCACAGGGCTGCAGAGGCAGGCAGGGGGCTGGGCACACAGCCCACTCTGTGGCCCCATTCTCTCTGCAGGTGGGGACCAGTTGGGACCTCTCCAATAGCCCCTCAAAGGACCTCAGGGATTAAGAATACAAGCTGGAAGCCTCCAGCACTGTCACACCAGCAGGACACATGGCTGAAATAACATTTCTCATAGGCAGGTCCCGGGAGGGACACCTGAGTGGACCATACACACTGCCTGCCTCAGCCCTGAGGCTGGGCTCCTGCATGTGAACTTGTTGAAGGCTCTGAGAAGTCCTGCAGCACAGCCTGGTGTGTGTGTGTGTGTGTGTGCTGGCCAGGTCCCTGGACTGCAGGTGTGCACCATGTGAACTGGCCACAAGGCAGCGGGGGCATGCACATGTCCTCCCGTGGGTGTGATGGAGGCTCTGTTCACCCACCACTTTCAGGCTGTCTCCCTCAGGGGCTTCTCCCGGACCACTCTGCTTGCTTCTCTGGCCTGCTCCTTCCCATTCCCAACACATCCTTTATGCCCTTCCCAGCCCCTGCTCCCAATGGCTAACGCTGGCATACAAGTCCCAAGAGTGCTCTGGTTGCCTGGGCCCTTGGCTTGCACAAGAGCTGTCTACAGGCAGGGGTGGGAAGCTACTGCTCGTCACCTAATAGAGTATAACCAAGCCTGGCATTCCCGGAGCGTGACGTGCAGAGCCAAAGGCCCTCCGCTGTGGGCTGCGGCTCTGAGCGCATCTGAGGAGCGGCACGCAGAGAAGCACACATCTGTGTCCAGCGTGGTCCCAGAGCAGCAGACTGACGCGCCTGCCACTCAGTGCCCGTCAGGGCGGAGGCCCACCTGGGCTGTGACAGCATCACAGACACAGTGCTGCAGACCGCCACATGCCAAACACCGTCGGCATTTACCAAACCAAAGTCCACAGTGTCATCTGCCTCTGTGCTAAAAAGAAGTGCAGCTGTGAACTCCCAGACAGAGTACTCGGGATTTGAAAGGAAAGATCTGGACAGGAACCAAGAAAACACCACCGGCGTGAGGCTGAGCCAGAGGGGTGTCGGTCTCCCCTTGCCCACCGTGCCTCACGCCCTTAGGAAACCCACGCCAGCAGAACAGGGAGGTGGGCAGCTGCCCCCCTACCCCCCGCGCCCACCCACCTGTCAAAGATGGCGCCCACCCCTGCGCTGTGGGCGCTGTTGCGGTGCACGTGCAACCCGGTGGCCAGGAGGATCCCGTCCTTCACAGTTATGGACCGGTGCGAGAAGGAGGCAATGAGCAGCTCGTTCCAGCCTGGAGGAGGAGGCACACAGTCGGTCACCCCGCCCGCCCCGCCCCTCCTTTCCTCCAGCAACAGCAGTGTGTCACACACCCACCTCTTTCTGCACCCCAGCCAGAGTTCCCGCAGCAAGCTCCACCCCAAAAAGCATTCCACCAATCAAGAGGCTCCTGCCTGTCATCCTCCCTACTCAGGAAGGAGGCTAAGATCTGAGGAGCTCAAAGCCAGCCCAAGTGGAAAAAGTCCGTGAGCCTCCTATCTCCAATTAACCACCAAAAAAAGCCAGAGGCAGAGCTGTGACTCAGGTGGTAAAGCACCAGTCTTAGGTAAAAAAGCCAAGCGAGAAGAGACCTTGGTTTCAGCCCTAGTACAGACACTAAGAAAAATAAAACAGGAAAGAAAGACAAGGCAAGCAAGGGGCTCCTAAGACCTAAGGCTGGGAAATGCTTCTTCCTCCCACAGTGAGCACCGACACAGCGCAGGCGCTGAGAAGCCCTACCCTGAGCCCTTCCTGCAGCAAAGCCAGGTGCCCACGGAGCTCGTCTGCACATGGCGGCACTTGTGCCACAGAGACAGAGTGTGCCAGGCCGAACCTGAGAAAGCTCAGAGACCAAGGTGTGCCATCTGGAGTGCCACCAAAGTGCAAAGAGCCACATATTCACCAGGACAGGACGTCTTAGCACCAGAGGCCCGAGCGGACATTCTCGGGGGACTTTTCCGGTTTTGTTGTTTTGTGGGATTGCTTTTGTTGTTGTCTGAGACCAGGACTTGAACCCATTATCTGACACTCTTGCTCACTGGCTAGAGCTCTACCACCTATACCACGTCCCCAACCACTGGATATCCTCCTAATATCAAGTCTAGTCCAGACGGACGGCAGGCATCCGAGGGCTACGAAGGGGTCTGAGACTTCAGAAAAGGACTCCGCACAAGTGTTTCAACGGCTCTTGGCGACTGGATGACCTGAAGCCATCTCCCATGCCTACAATCCTGGTTTCCACGGCTGGCTCTTCCTGGCGCCCCACAGCTCTCTCGTACCTGAATCGAGCCCTAGTCCTCACTGTCATCTCCCATGGCAAGTGTGGGCCTGTCCGGAACAGGTGGGAGGTGCGGGGTGTGGGTGACCAGCACTGGCTCAGTCCCACGCGTCAGTGCTCACTCCTGGTCTATGACCGTCCAGACTGGGCCCGAGGCCTGTGCCCAGACCTGCACGATCCACTCTAAAGCATGGCTCCAGGGACCCTCGGCAGAAGCCAGGCTGCCCCTTCAGCTGTGCAGACATGCCCTGTGTTACTTGGGCCACTGGAATGCCAGCACGAGCCGCAGACGCAGGCAGAGGCCCTGGTTGGCTGCCTTCACCGTCAGGGGAGGTGAGCTGTGGGCATCGTGGGAGTCTGCATGGATGGAGGAGCTGCATGGGCCAGTTCTGGGAACGGATGCTGGTCTGGCACCTCACCGGTCTACTCATCCCTGTTCCCAGGTGGTGGCAGGTAGCCCATTTAAGGGAGGAATAAGAAGCTGGGGTTCCAGCTGGGTGCGGTGGCTCATACCTGTAATCCCAGCTACTCAGGAGGATGAGATCTCAGGATCATGGTTCAAAGCCAGCCTGAGCAGCAAAGTCCATGAGACTCTTATCTCCAATAAACCACCAGAAAACCAGAAGTAGTGCTGTGGCTCAAGTGGTAGAACGCTTGCCTTGAGCTAAAGAGCTGAAGGACAGTGCCCAGATCCAGAGTTCAAGCCCCACGACCAACACACACACACAGACACACACACGCGCGTGCGCGCGCGCGCGTGCGCACACACACACACACACTATACTGGGTCCCATAGTTTCGTGAGGCTGGGAAACATGTGAAGACCAGAGGAAGAACTCCAGGGCTGCTACCTGAAGGGCTTGTGGTAGAGGCAGGCCCAGGCTGGGCCCCTCTGTCCAAGGGGACAGAAGCAACAAAGCCAAAGCAGCAGGGGTAGGCCAATGGGCCACACTGGGCTGTCTACTGGTGACCTGGGCCTGGCTGGAGTGGCAAATGAGGCCTCACAGCTCAGCAGCACACGATGATGACAGGAGACAGAGGCTTCAGGTTAAGACATGGGAGCCAGAAAGCCATGAGTGGCCCTGGCACTGCCCCAGTTTATCTGTCTGGGGAATAGAAGGCCCACAGTGCTCCAGTCTTCTGGGGAACAAGCCAGAGCATTTAAGTCTTATCTTGGAGGGTCCCTGGACAACTTCAGCAGGCTCTCACTCAAGGAAGGGGCCCTTCTCCCCACCCAGAAGTATGAGACCCACCCCAGACAGCCTGAAATCTCTGCCTATTCACAGGGGATGGGGCTGCCAGATACCGCTCAGCAGCACAGCCCCAGGTGGGCGTTCCCCAGGGCACCAGAGGCCCGGCCTGCAGCTGGGCTGACTGTGGCTCTCAGGGTGGCGGAACTACTGCAGCGGATGTGAGAGAGGACAGCGGCCTCAGCCAGCACCCTGGCCAGGCCTTGGCACAGCACCAACATCTGGACTCAGACCCCCTGAGCCGAGCCCTAAAGCAAGGGCCGAGCTGGACAGACATGCCCCTGATGGGCAAAACATCCCCAGATCCCGCAAGAGGTCCCTGACCACCAAAACCCAAGCAGAGGCAGGCATGGCAGGACCTACGATGGGTGACCCCGGCTCACGTGAATGGCCCGATCCCATCACAAAGCAAGGAGGGTCGGACCTGTGTGATCCTGGCCCCGACCAAGCACCTTCCAGAACATTCCATGCTACACTGAAAGCTATCTTTGGCTATTTTTCTACATTTTTTATCAGGGACCTGTCTTGGATTAGCCAAGGCCCTGGAGGCATGGGGACCTCAAGTAAAACAAGCAACTGAAGCAGTTGGAGGTTCAAGCCCCAAGACTGTGTCGGCTACAGGGCCTGTGCCCAATGTGCCCATTCCACAGGAAGGAGCTGGCCTTGGCTAGCTCGTGGCCTGTCAGTCAGGACACAGCAACGCGCCGGGGTTCCCTCTACAGACCGGCTGGCTCAGGGAGGCTCACCCCGACCCCCAAAGGCAATGTTCCTACCCACGGTCTCCCACCCCAAGCCTGTGCTGAGTGCAGGGAGCACACAGGCCCCCACGGGCAGCTCTGCTCCTGTCTGCAGCCCAGAGTCCTCACACCACTTTCCCGACAGCCCACGGCAGCCCCAGGTCCCGGCTGCTCACCTGCCCGCAGCAGGATGACCTGGTCGTCCAGAGGAAGCTCGGAGAAGTGCGGGACCCTCTTGGCCCACTCCACAAGGGTGAAGAGCTGCTTGTCTGCGGCTTGGCAGATGTTGGTGACAGGGTCGTTGGGCTGTGGAAGAGGAAGGGCACACTGATCAGGACCACACTACCAACGTACTGACAAGAAATGGCCCCAGACCAGGCCCCATCCTATGTGTGTACCCATGTGGAGATCCCCAGAGGCCCGTGCCCCAACCTCTGAGGGGCCCAGGGACTCGGCAGGCAGGATGGCTGGCAGATCCTGGGGATGGGAAACGATTTTGCATCTTTGGGGCCGGTATCATCGAGAGAGTTCTGTAGAAGGTGTGGGCTCAGGGTCAGAGGGGCGTGGCGGCAGAAGCAGAGGCCAGAGGGGAGGAGATGCTGCTGGCTTGAAGATGGATGGAGCAGGGACTTCAGGCGGAGGAACATGGCCTCCAGGCACTGAGGAAGACAGAAAACGGTCCTCCCCAGAGCTGTAGGCAGAGCTGGCCTTCACAAGGACCTGAGACCAACTCATGCTGTCTCACCTCAAGATCATGGAATCTGTGTGGATGAAGCCAGCGAGCCTGTGAGGTTTCGCTCCAGCTCACACAGACCGCAGGACCCCTTCGCTGTCCAGCTCTGGGGGGCGGGGCCAAGGGACAGACATGCGGGAGACCACGCAGCAGGCAGGCTGGGAGCCAGGGCAGAGCCAGCCCCTCAACGCTTCCCGTCACGTTGAGACGGCTTCCCCGGGGACAGCATAGGGCAGGAAAGTGGTGAAATGCCAGGCCCCATGCAGAGGTAGGAAGCCTTCCAAAAAATTCAGCCACTCTCATGGAGGAGAAAACAAGTCAGGCTTCTCAGCAGGGTGGGGGGGGGTAGCGGAGGGGTTCCCAACTCCTGGGGCTGCTGGCATGGCCCAGGGCCCAGCGCCATGAGGCATCAGGGCGTGGGGACCCCTCATGTGCTCTGGGAACAGCAGTGGCGAGGGAAGCAGAGCAGAAGGAAGAGAACTCCCACCAAAGGACTCCAAGACAGAAACCACCTGCCAGGCAACAACACGCAGTCTAAACACTAGCCCTGTGTGAAGGGCCAGCAAAGGGCTCAAGTAGAAAACTCGATGGAGGCATAGAATTCCATTGTGTATATACACCACATTTTCTTGATCCATTCATCTGCTGAGGGGCATCTGGGTTGGTTCCATATTGTCGCTATGGTAAATAATGCTGCTATAAACATAGTTGAGCTGGTAGCTTTAGTGTGGTCTTGTTTGTGATCATTTGGGTAAATGCCCAAAAGTGGGATTGCTGGGTCATAGGGGAGCTCTATATGGAGTCTTCTGAGGAACCTCCATACTACTTTCCAAAGTGGTTAACAAGTTTACACTCCTACCAACAATGCAGTAAGACTCCCTTCTGTCCACATCCCCTCCAGCATCTGTTATTGTTAGAGTTCTTGATTATAGCTGTTCTAACTGGGGTGAGGTGGTATCTCAATGTTGTTTTGATTTGCATTTCTTTTATTGCTAGAGAGGTTGAGCATTTCTTCATGTGTCTATTGGCCATCCTTCTTTCCTCTTCAGAGAAGTTTCTCTTTAAGTCTTTTTTTTTTTTTTTTTGCCAGTTATGGGGCTTGAACTCAGGGCCTGCGCGCTGTCTCTCAGCTCTTCAGCTCAAGGCGAGCGCTCTACCACTAGAGCCACAGCGCCACTTCCAGCTTTTTCTGCTTATGTGGTGCTGAGGAATCGAACCCAGGGCCTCATGCATGCAAGGCAAGCACTCTACCACTGAGCCACCTTCCCAGCCCTCTCTTTAAGTCTTTAGCCCACTTATTTATTGGGCCCATTTGTTAGAAAATGGAAAGACTTGGAAAAAATTGTATTAAGTGAAGTAAAGCAAGCACAAAGAAACATAGGTCCCATGGTTTCCCTTATTTGCAATAACTAGTATATGTCTGAGACAAGCAGAAAAGGTCAGATGAGTTGATGTTAGGTGAAATGAACCCCAAGGTAAGTATTTAAATGTTTTTTTTTCTTTCTTGCGAGTGTTTCTAATATATTTATAAGATGATTTCTTTGTTGTTTTGTATGTCCCTCCCCCACGGTATAACCCGTTTTCACTGTATTTAATGTTGGTGTAGTTTGTGGAGGGGAAGGGAAAAAACAAATCGTTTAAATAGGGATACAGGTGGACCCATTGCAACAATGAGATGTATAAGTCATTATGTCGAAAAACGAACTTTACAACTTTGTGGGGGGCGGGGAGGGGGGAGGGATGGGAAGGGATAACAAAGGAGGAGGCAACAATGCTTGATAAGAAATGTACTCATTACCTTGCCCATGTAATTATAACCCTCTGTATGGTATTTTCACAATAAAAAGAAAGCTCGAGGACAAACGGGACCCCCAGCCTCCCGGCTGGCGGGAAGAACAGGGGAGCCTGGAGCCTGAGGGAGCCAAGTCACGAGGTTGGGCAGGCAAGTGAAGGCCTTCAGCTGAAAGCCCCTTGATGCCTCTTTAGCTCCTCTCTCCACCCTCACCCCTCCTCATAGCCCAGCCCTGTCCAGGCTGGCCACGCCCCTCCACACCTCCTGACAGAGCAGCCTCAGCCCTGCCCAGGCTGGCCACGCCCAGGGCTGCCCCATCCCTCTGGTCCGGTGGCTCAATCAGCATCCTCCTGGCCTGTCCACCTGTCTCAGAGAAGCCCTGAAAGGCAAGAGCCCAGGGGGGCCCAGAACAGCCATGGGGACTGAGGGACGAGGGGAAATCCAGCTGTGCTTGGTACTTAATCAACAGACATGGTCCTCTCTGGTCACCAACTGGCTATACCTTGTAAGCTCTTGTGGGGCCTGGCCTGTCACCAGGAATGGGAAGGGCCCTGAAGAGCCTGGGCCGGCTGCGGCTTCTGCAGGCGTAAGCCTCTGGGCTGTCCATCCATGACAGACAGTGTTGGGGAAGAAGTGACCACAGCAGGTGTGAGGCTCAGGCTTGGTCCCAGCAGACCAGGCCTGGAGGGGTCTCCGGGAGGGGAAGGGCGGTGCGGGCTTCTGCTTCAGGCAAGGGTTTTCACCCTCTGAGCTCATCTAACAGCAGGCATCTAATGAGCTGCCAGCGGGGCAAGGAGGAGTGTCAACAGGACCACCCAGGCTGGGCCCAGGCCCTGGACCTCAGCCGTCTACCGAGCCCCGAGCCCAGAGCCAGGCCCAGCCTTGGTAGGGCTTCAGGAAGGCACGCGAGGTTGACACAAGGCTGTCATTCAGTGGCAAGTCGGGCACTGCCAAAGCAGGAGCACACGTCCCTGGGGGGCCCAGCTTCTTCCCCAGGGCACGGTGCCCTTGCCCTAGACGAGGCTCTGAAGACCTGAGCTTTCCGGGAATATTGGCAAAACAGAATAACAGAAGACTGTCCCACATAATGGTTTCTGCTCCATCTGGAACCTTCCACCTGCCCACTCTGCCTTCCCCTCCAGGGCTTCGAGGTGGCAGGGTTTGCGGGGTGCCCTGTGGGGAGTTATCCTCCCAGAGCCGAGAGCCATTCCCTGGAGGAAGAGGCTGCCTGAACCCCATGCACGAGCACAGCCAGGGTTCTGGGGCCCTGGTGTCCCACCACAGGAAAGGAGACAGCTGCTATCCAGAGCTGTGAAAAGGGGCACTACCCACAGGCACTACCCCATAGCCTCATGGGAAGAACCAGCCCAGCTAGCGATCACAAAGGAAGGAAACCAACAGGGCTTTGAGCCCACAGAGCTGTAGCCAGGAGGGCCAGTGCAGTCTGGTCAGATCCCCCAGCCGAGCAGAGGCGGCCCAGCCACACCAGGACGCCGGGGCATGGGCCTCTCAGGGAGGAGAGGGAGGAAAGCGGAGACACTGCGGCAGGAGCGGCACTCACACCTACCAAGGCCGGCACTCACCGAGCTGGGGTTCAGCCCCATATTTGCCTCCACATAGGTCTCGGTCTTGGGCTCAACGGCCAGCTCAGCTTCTAGAATCTTCTCCACGGGCATGTCTTCATTGGCGCTGCTTGTGGACTCCACCTCGTTCTCATTCCGGTCCTTGCCCCGCTGCCGCTCCTCCTGCACAGCTGCACACAGGAGGCGCTGTCACCCGCAGCCCGGCCAGCCCGGCCACAGCCCCCGTGTCCCCACCAGGCCGGGAGGAGGGAGACACACCCAGAGCCCCCCTCCACGGCGGGCCCCTTGTGTTCTGTGTGCAGGGCCAGGGCAGACGGCCTTTCTCCAAGTTCAGTTGACAGGGGTCACGGGGTGCCCACCAGGCTGCCTGTGTTAGGGAAACCCGGGGAGGCTTCCTAAAAGACGTGATGAGACTGAAACAGAAATAGCTGAGGACTGCGGATTCAGGGAAAGGAAAGGACATGTGCCTGAGCAGAGCAACTTACAGCCAGGAACCAGACAGTCACGCTGGCCACAAGCCAGGGCAAGGGCACAGAGGCTCAGAGTCACACTTGGGTGCATGCACCAGCTTGCACCCTGTCCCTGCACCCCCCAGGCTGGGCTGTGACCAAAGCAGAGAAGGGACCACCGCCACCCCCAGCCACCGGCAGGCCCCGTGGCACTCCACGTCTCCTCTCTGATGCTGTGGACTCTGCGCACTACTCAGAGGCACCAACACCAAAAAGCCTGCCAACCTGCCTGTGAACAGTCCAGTTCTAGGGCCTGAGACCGCCGTGCGGCAAACCACAGCCACACCACAGCTGCCCAGTCCACAGCCCGGGGGTGCATCCTGCCAGGCAGACTCTGATGGGCTGACTCCAGCCCAGCTATGGTCAGCCCCGATGTGGACACCTCTGTGGAGCACCTCAGATGGCCGCTGCCACCCTCCAGAGGATGCCTGCCAGCCCGGGCAGAAGCAGTACCGCCTCTCACAACCCAGGCAGTACCGGAGGCCACCCTCTCCTAGCTGGCCCACCGGAACAGCTAGCACTGGTGTGTCAGGGCAGGCTGGAGTCCACACACATTCCTCCCGAGCTGTACCGTCCTGCAGCCCTGCCCGTGCACACCATGACCGCGAGCTGAGGCTCCACTGCGTGTTCTCTGGCCTTGTCCCACTGCCTTTCCCCACTGCCCCCCACGGCCTTGCCCTGCACGGTCCTCCAATGCCACCCCCACTGGCCGCTGTCACGGCCTCCCTGGCAGAGAGGGGATCCGAGGCTTGGGCGGGGCCTTGTCGTAGCAGGCGAATGACAGAGACAGGAGAGCAACAGAACGGAGCCACCTGGGTCTGGCCCAGCTCGACACCCCGTCCCCAGCGAAGGCTCCTCCTGCCACTCCCTGCAAGCCCCGACCCTTCCCCATCAGTCGTGGACAAGGACAGCACACGCCAAGTCCTCCTCCACAGCTCCCGCCACCCGGGCTGGGAGTAGTAACAGGCTCCCTCCTCCCCAGCCTGGCCTTCCTAAGGGTATGTTTTTTGTTTTGTCAGTCGTGGGGCTTAACTCTGGGCCTGGGCGCTGTCTCTGAGATCTTCGGCTCAAAATAAGTGCTCTACCACTTGAGCCACAGCACCACTTCTGGTTTTCTGGTGGCTCACTGGTTAAGAGTCTCACGGACTTTCCTGCCCAGAGTGGCTTTGAACGGTAATCCTCAGATCTCAGCCTCCTGAGTAGCCAGGATGACAGGCGTGAGCCCTGCTGCCATTCCTGAGGGTTTGATGGTGAGCAGCTGCAGGCAGTGCTCATCCAGACCCACACGGGTCCCCGTGGCACCAACAGCAGCCCTGAGTGGCTGGACCCCTTCCCGCCTCCTCCCTGCCACGTGGGGCTGCCCACTCAGGCCCCCAGCCCCTGGCTTTCCCAGGGGAGGGGCACACTGAAATACGAGGGGCAGCAGGCGGGATGCGGGCAAGAGGTGAGGCCAGGGCGAGAAGCGGTGGCAGCATCCCTGCCATGCAGGGTGGGTGGCAGCCTCTCCTGGGAGCAGCCTGCCTGCCTGCCTGCCTTCCTTCCTTGTTTTTTTTTTTAAACATGGGGTTTTTTTTTTTAGACATGGGGCTTGAACTCAGCCTGGGCAATGTCCCTGCGCTCTTCAGCTCAAAGCGAGCCCTCTACCACTTGAGCCATAGCACCACTTCCAGTTTTCTAATGGTTTATAGGAGATAAGAGTCTCAAGGTCTTTCCTGCCCAGGCTGGCTTTGAACCATGATCCTCAGATCTCAGCCTCCTGTGTAGCTAGGATTACAGGTGTGAGCCACTGACACCCGGCTTCAGCCTTCATTCTTAACCATCCTTCCCGCTTCTAGCCTCAGGAGGCCAGGCACATGGTACTGTCCCCCAGGCCCTCCAACACAGCTGGAGTTCAGTCCAGGGTGGTAAGGTGGCCTCTCTAGGCCTTGGGCTCCCCTGCCTCCCTCCTGAGCCCACAAAAGGGCATCCCATGCTGGGGCTGTGATCCTCAAGACTTGGCTCCCTGCTGGTGCAAGGGGCTTCCCACCCCCACGAGCCCTGACAGGAGGCCAGGCCAGCGCCTCCAGAGCACACCAGCTGGCCGAGCAATGTGGCGGAGGCCTGCAGCCAGCATTCTGCTAGCCTGATTCTTCCAGAAAAACTGACAGCAGGTGGAAGCTGGGGGTGTGGAGGGGCCGAGGCTGCAGGCAGATGGCGCCAAGCTCACAGGGGCTGTGGAGGTTGCCAGGCTCTAGCCCTGGCCAGCTGGGCTGCCACGGCTCAGCGAGCGGGGGGCACGCATCTTGGGTGGAGACGCCTCTAGCTGCAGCAAACGAGGTGGGCATGGTGAGCCGGGCCCTCGGTGCTAGGCAGCTCCATCACACGAGGCAGCCAGACTGCAGCCAGAGTCCGGCGGGCCATGTCCGAGGAGGACGCCAGGCAGAATGCCGAAACCCAGGGCCAGAACCCTGCTGATGAGCACAGGCAGACTCAACACGCCTGGGGGGGGGGGGGGGACTGAGGTTCAGAGAGCAAAGGAACGTGACTGAGCTTGCACAAAAATGAAAAGCTTAAAGCACTAGGCTGACTGCCCAGGCCCCCCCCCCCAAGGCAGTCCTTCTAACAGCTGTGTGTCCCCAGGCAGCACCCTCAACCTCTCTGAGCCTTAACTTCTTCATCAGTGGAAGGCCAAGGGTGATATCTGCTTCAAGATGTCCCTAGAGGGAACAGCTGCACAGGACCCGCGGTCCCTGCCTAACTAGCCCAGCCCCAGAGATTTTCTCCCACTTAGAGATAGTCCAGGCTCAGGAGCTGGGAGGAAGCAAGCCCTAAGCTCGAGCCTCCGGACTGCCAGCCTCCCCGGTGTCTGGAGCTGAGCTGGCGAGGGGGCCCTCGACACCTGCCTCCTCTGCGGGGGCAGCGGAGAATTAATTAGCAAATGTTTTGTGAAGCACTTTGAAGCCGTGAAGGCCCCAGCCGCTCGGAGCGGCATCATTATAAATATTATCGTTTTATTTATAGACGGCGGAGGGGCAGGAGAGGGCCCGCGGATTTATGTTTTGCCAGCTCAATCACCTTTTAGACGCAGTCATGTTTGACTTATGTTCCACTGGCGCCAGGAAGCCTCAGGCGGGAGGCGTCTGTAAATACAGGGCCTCGTTATCCTTCCAGGCCGGGAGCGAGGTGGAGGAGGTGGAGGAGGCCGTGGCGGAGGAGGCCAGGAGTCTGAGACACTGCCTGACCTGCAGTCTAGGCTTTCCGGGCCCCGGGGGAGGATCCAGGATGCTAAGCAGCCCCACCAGACTCCTTCCCAACATGGCACTGGGGTAGGGAGGCCACTGAGACCCTTCGTCAAGAGTGGGGCGCAGGCAGGACCGAGGGTGTCACGGTAGCAGGGCCAGCAGCGATGTCCACACGCACAGGGGCACCCGCACCCTGAGACCTCTGCTCTGGGCTCTGCCAGTGGGGTCGTCCATATCTGGTATACCTGTGCGTGCACACGCACACGCGCATGCACACACACACACACACACACACACACACACGACACAGCCAGGAAAGGCACTGAGGGAAGAAGCCCAGAAAAGAGGGTATACTAGGTGCCCCCTTCAGCCCTCCCAGGCCCACACGCAGGCCCCACACAGCCCTGCCACTGCCTACCCAGACTACAGGCCCAGGCCCCACCTGGCGAGGGGCCAGGGCCTCGCTGGGGCACTACCCACCCCCCCCCCCGCCGGGGAATGCTGCTGAACGAGCCCTGGCTGCCTGCAGGTACAGGCCCTGCCACACAGATGCTATCGGCTGCAGCTTCCCTCATCAGCCAGCAGGGTGGGGGCCCCTCCCAGGGCAGGGCTCCTGCTGTGGTCAGCCGACCCAAGCTCCACCCTCTTGGCACTTGTGCAGCACTTTGAGACCAACGCAGGAGCTACGAAAGCAAGGGTGGTGGCACCGACACCAGCCGCCTGCTACCCACAGCAAGGCGGCACTGGCAGGGCCACAGGCCTGACACTCAGCAAGGCTGAAGGTCTGGTTCAAGGCAGGGCCACAGGCCTGGTACTCAGTAGGACTAGAACCAGCACTCCCTGGACCAAATCCCTGGCCTGGATGGGCAGCCTGGCCCCATAACTTCTCCAGACTTCCTGACTGCCATGCAGCCAAGACCCCGCCCAGTGCTCCAGCAGCCTTCCGTGTAGTGGCTGGCCTGAGAACAGAGGGGAGGGGCTGGGTTTCAGGGGCAGGCCCAGGCCCCCAGACCCCACCCACCTGTCCTGCTGCCCTGGGGTTGTCCAGCCCGTGAGTGAGGGTACTGCTCGCTGCAGGCCTTGGGGAGTGTGGCAGGCTTGCGGCCAGGCACTAGTGGCAGGGCCCACTGGGCCCAGGGACCCCTCTTGCTCCACTGTCCATGGGGCTGAGTTTTGTGTTTGTGCTGCGTAGGAGGGCTTTTATTGCATGTTCACGGCTCATAAATCCAGCTGCAGACAAAGGGGATGGGTGCTTGGACGGGCTCAGGTGTTTATCTAACAGTCCATAAATCAGGTCTGGAGGGCTGCATGCTGCCAGGAGATGGGTCCACACAGCAATGCCGGGTGGACCAGGCACACAGGTACAGCCAGGCCTCCTCCTGTCCGCCCCCCGCCCCCCGACGCTGTTCTCTATCTATGAAATGTGGCAGGGCACTGGCATGGCAGGGTAAGCAGTGTGCCCAGGACTAGATGGGGGAGGGGCAGTGGCCCTGCAGAGCAAGTACGAAGACGGTCACTGGTGAGCATGGGGGTGGGGCCTCGGCAATCCCAGCGAGCCTGGGCCCCCAGCCCTGAGCTCACCCCCCTCCACTGCGATGAAGGAGGGCACCGTCCACGCCTCAGCCACCACTGGCAGTCGTGGGGTACTTGGAGATGAGTGGGCCTCAGGGAACTGCAGCCTCAGCCTCCTACCACAGCCGTGCCCGCCGCCCAAACTGCCTCAAAGGCCAGTGCCCCAGCTCTGGCTGGAGCCAGGGCCGCCTGGCTCTCTGATGGTCACTCTCGAACACAGGAGCCCATGCCCCCGTGCTTGGCCCCAAACCAGCACCAACAGTGAGCTCTGACGGAGGGCAGGCTCAGGGCTGAAGCCAAGCTCTTTAGACACTCACTGGCCATGGCCCCCAGTCCTCCCTAGCCCGAGTTCCTGTCCTGTAGGAACTCAGCCCTGGGGACGTGTGAACCTGGACGGTTGGGAGGCATGCTCTCCCTGCTGGGTCACTCCTTCCATCTGCCCTTTTGATGCCAGAGGCCAGGTGCCAGCCTTGCACTTGACCTCAGACAAGACCCTATCCCGCTGAACCTCAGTTCCCTCACCTGCACTGCCTAAACCAATACTAAGTGCTCAACAAAACACAGACCTGGCCAGAAAGGCCTGGCTGGCAGCACCTGCACATAGCATTCGCTCCACTGGCTCAGCTCAGAGTCGCTGGAGACCAAGAACTCTGCACCCCCAGCCACTCTGCAGACAACACCGTCACCGCCTAGATGGCCCCACAGGAGCTCTGCCACCAGGGAGCTCAGGCCTGCCACCGGGAGCCTGCTGAGGTTGAAGTCTGGGTTTCTCAAGCAGAATGGAGGCGGCTGAGAACATACAAAAAGAGAATGAAATGAACGTGAAGGGAGCTCAAGCAGCTGGCCTGCATTCAAGCTGGCCCTCAAGGGGCAGCGGTGGCTGGAGGCCCAGCAGGGGTGGGTGGGAAGGTGGCAGGACACACTGGCCACACATGTAGCCGTGACAGAGGATGCACGGGGGAAGATTCCTACAGCACGAGAATACAGTTGAAATCCTGTCAGGCTAAACCTCACTCGGCCCACAGCCGAACGCACGCACACTGAATGCAGAGCCATCATGCGCTGGCAAGGTGGAGTGTGCAGACGGGACCCTGATCCACCTGGACAGCCTGACCAGGTCAGTGACAACATGAGTGCTGGGCACTCTGAATAAAGCAGCCTCGGCCATCCTGGAGCTGCTGCCAGCAGCGGCCCACCATTGCCTCAGAAGGCAACAGAGCCCAGGAGCATCTGCTCGGGAGCCGCCCCCCCATGTTCTCTGAAGGGCCCCTTCACCACTCCAGCAACAATGAGCCATCTTGCAAAGGCCTCCTTGGCCATCCTGCCTGGCAGCCGGGCAGCCAGAGAAGCCCACAACACACCCTCTTTCCCCTTCTCACCACTCAGTGCCCTCTCCTTCCCTGCTCCCTCCTCCCGGGGCCACCGTGTCTCAGAAGAGGGCGGTGTCACACCATGCTCAGCCTGCTGGCGCTCAGTGACAACGTAAGGGGCCCTTCCAGCCTGGCCTTCCTTGTACCTCTGGCCAGGATGCTTGTCCACTATTGGCCACAACCCACAACCTAGGCCCTGGACTTGCCACTCCCAGGCCGAGGGCTAACGCCTCACCTCCTGACGGCAAGGAAAGAAGCTGCAGGTGCCTGGGGATCAGGGTCTTGTCTCCTTTGTAAAGAGGACTAAACGAGCCAGGTGCTGGTGGCTCATGCCTGTCATCCTTGTTACTCAGGAGGCTGAGATCTGAGGATCGTGGTTCAAAGCCAGCCCAGGCAGGAAAGTCCGTGAGACTCTTATCTCCAATAAACCACTCAGAAAACTGGAAGTGGTGCTGTGGCTCAAGTGGTAGAACGCTCGCCTTGAACTGAAGAGCTGAGGGACAGCACCCAGGTCCAGAGTTCAAGCCCCATGACTGACTCCCCCCCCAAAAAAAAGAGGTCTAACATACGGCGGGTGCATGGTAGAGATTCAATTGGGAGGGAGAGGGAAGGGCTGGCCCTTCACACAGGCAAGCTCTGGGGACGGCCCGTGTGTGGGCACAGGCCTGGGGACCCCGCGGAGGAGCTGCCTGGAGGGAGGGAGTACTGCCAGGGAGGCGGATAAACGGGACCCAAGCCCACCGCAGTACTCGGGATGCTGCGCGTCTGCCCAGCAGCGCGTGCTGGCCAGCGCCCTCCCCGGCAGGCGGCAGGCAGGTCTACCTTCCCGCTTCATGCCCATGGCCAGGCACTTCTGGTAGCGGCAGTACTGGCACCGGTTCCGCTGGCGCTTGTCGATCAGGCAGTCCTTGTTGTCCCGGCAGGTGTAGGTCAGGTCCTTGCGCACGGTCCTCTTGAAGAACCCTTTGCAGCCCTCGCAGCTGTAGACCCCGTAGTGCTTGCCTGGGGGTGCGGGAGGGGGGAGGGAGTCAGTGTGCGATCCGAGGGGGTGGGTGGCTCACAGGCCTCGTGCTCGCCGGACGCCAGCCGGGACCCAGGCTTGCCCCCGCCTCGCCCCTCCCTGCTACTTCGCTGCTCCATGGGCGCTGCACCTCGTGTAGCCCTGCCTGTGCCCTGGAAGAGGGCATGCGTCATTCTTCTCTGTTGGGCTGTGGTGACAATGCCAGGGGCTCTCTGCTCAGCCCAGAGAGACCATCCACAGAGGCCTCCTCTCCCAAAGCCTCCAGTCCACCTTGCCCACCCTGGTCTTGTACCATTCCCGAACACACTGGAGGGTCCCTGAGCACTAAGCCTGCTCCAGGGGCAGGGGAAGGGCTACCCAGGGCCCTGCCTCACTGCCCCCAGCTCATGGCGTAGAGCAGGGCCTCGCCAACCCCGGCCCGGCAGCCCGGGTGGCCCCACCTGAGGAGCGGTCTCCGCAGATGGCACAGATGTGCTTAGTGAAGGACGCCATGTTTCCTGAGGGGTGGGCAGGGACCTTGAGGACGCCATTGAGGCCCAGCGGGGGCTTGATGTCCTCGCTGCTGCTGACGGGGTTCATGGGCGAGTTGAGCTGCAGAGAGATGACAGGGCCGGGTCAGCCGTGGGCAGGTGGCGATGGGGACATCCACTCGACACCCCATGGCAAGGGAGGTACAGCTGAGCCCCACTGCATAGAGCCTCCTCCGGGCACAAGGCCAAGGGGCAGCGGGGCCCCTGCCCGCGGAGCGCCCCCTGCCAGGGGGTACTGAGCAGCTGGCCATGCTAGAGACCCACACAGCAGCATACCCCACCTTCACTGCCATCACCGCCGCAGCACCCCTTGGCTCCACCCCTGCCCATCACCCACATGAGTCAGGCCTGCTGGCAGCTCTGGTCACTCCACGGGAGGGGGCTCGGGGCCCCGAAGCCCACGGAAGAGAGCAGCAGGCCCAGGCACCTGGGGCCGGGCCAGACGCACCCCGGTGCCACACGTCACCACCGCCCTGCAGGACAGTGGTCTCTGGCCTGGACACCCTGGCCCCTGTAAGCCCCGGCCCCGCCCACCAGCAGCCAGGGCAAGCGTGGGAAACTCACCCGGTTGCCCTGGCAACGGCTGCAGCGTGCAATGACGCAGCAGTTTTGGTTCCGCAGCCTCCAGCCCAGCTCTGCAGTCAGCACGGGGCCAGAGGCGGACGGCCGCATCCCGCAGGCAGCAGCTCATCTGCAAGGGCGCAGGGCCCCCGCTGGGCAGTGCCCCCCCTTCCACAAACCCCTGACAAAGGCACGTGATGGGCTGTGCCGCCATCCGGCTGCCATCGTGCCCTGAAGTAGCCTGGAGGCGCCCCTCCAAGGGGAACCTCACTCTTCCTTCCTCAAGTCCCCGAGCCCCAGCGCCCCTCCTCGCGGGGCAGAAGGGAAGAGCTTGACGCCACCAAAGCAGAAAGAGCCCCCAAGTCTCCTTTCACAAGGCTGGGGCGCCTGGATGGATTCTCAGCCGGCTCCCAGTCCTTCCCCGGCCTGGGAACTCAAGGCTGCCGGGCAGTGAGGCTCTGAGCGGCTGATTAACATCCTGTCGTCCAGAAGTGGGCTGCAGCCAGGCCCAAGGCCACTCGGTGTGCGGGGAGCACAGGAGGAGAGGTCCAGGAGCCCCGGGGGAGCTGGGGTGGGGCATCAGGACAGGGTGGCCTATGGGCATCCACAGCAGCCTTGATGCCAGATCCACACACGTCCTCTACTCTGCGGGGCCTTCCCCTTTCCCAGACCAACACCCCAAAGCTCCAACAGGGTGCCAGGGTCCCAGGCAGCAGAGCAGCAGGACAGAGTGAGTCCCTGTGCTAAGCAAGGCAGAGGGTGGGGTACAGACTGTTCACCTGGGTCTCATGCAGGGCCCAGGGGTCCTAGGGAGCAAGCCCACGGCCTCTGAGCTGAGAGGAGCCTCCACAACACTGAGGCTAAGAATGCACAGAAGAGCAGAAGGCCCCGGACCAGAATCCTGCCTGGCCATCCTTCACATGGCTCTGGAAGTCACCAAGCACGCCAGGTCTCCTGGGCATGAACACAGCCCCCCCCCACCCCTGCGGGAACGTCCCCTGAGGGCACAACAGGTGACCCACAATGCTGACTCAGGGTGGAAAGCGAACTGCAGCTGCAGTTGTCCCTGGGCCTCCAAGAGGCAGCAGCGGAAGCTGGCTTCCAGGGAGGAAGGCGCACCAGACAGAGCCCTCATTACCCCGCACTACTAAGAAGTGGGGACGAAAGGACTCTGGAGGGCTGGGACCGTGGCTGAATAGTAGAGTGCTTGCCTAGCATGCACAAAGCTCTGGGTTCAACTCCTCAGTACCACATATACAGAAAAGGCCAGAAGTGGTGCTGTGGCTCAAGTGGTAGAGCACTAGCTTTGAGCACAGAGAAGCTCAGGGACAGTGCCCAGGTCCTGAGTTCAAGCCTCAGGACCACCAATAAACAAAAAAGCCGGGCACCAGTGGCTCACATCTGTAATCCCCTAGCTACTCAGGAGGTTGGGATCTGAGGATCGGGGTTCAAAGCCAGCCCAGGCAGGGAAGTCTGTGAGACATTTATCTCCAATAAACCTCCAGAAAACGGAAGTGGTGCTGTGGCTCAAGCGGTAGAGTGCTTTGCCTTGAGCTGAAGAGCACACGGACAGCACCCAGGCCCAGAGTTCAAACCCCACAACCACGGGGGGGGGGGAAGCAAGGAAGGAAAGATGGAAGGGAGGGAGGGGGGAGAGAGGGGAGAGGCAGGAGGGAGGGAGGGGAAAGGAGGGAAGGAAGGAGGGAGGGAGGGAACACAGAAAGAAGCCTGAAGCTGTGGCCAGGAGCAGGCACTGTCAGGTACTGACACATGCATCCTAGTAGACCTTTAGTCTGGAGCTGGGCCAGAGAATGACATCCAGACAGAGCCAAGGCCAGGGGCTGGACCAGAGAATGACATCCAGATAGAGCCAAGGCCAGGGGCTGGAGTGCCATCCTCACTGCAGGCCTGGGGCCACCCAAGGACTCTTCCAGGCTTCTCCAGTGGCTACCATGTCATCCTCTGACAGACAGCAGACTGTGCAGGGCAGGGAGGAGGGCCGGAAGGCCAGCGTCCCAGCTGTAAGCTGACAGCCAGGAGCTGGAACTATGAGAAATATAGGGAAGCCTACCCCGTGTGTGGAACCCATCCACCCGGAACTGCTGTACAACCAATCTGCCTCAAGAGACCCAGCTCTGTGCCTGCCCTTCCCTGGAGCCTGAAGCGCCGTGCAAGGCTGGGTGAGACCGTTCCATTCCCCTGTTCATACTGTTGGCATTTATTTTGGTTCCAGCATCACCAGTGCCTGACCAGGTCCTCTCTTCCACACCCACCACAACCCACGCTCTTCCAGGCCTGAGTGCTCTCCCTCAGGGGCCTACCACCACCACAAGGCACCCAGACCCAGGACCTGCCCACTGCCCCGCTCCACCCCGGTTCCTAGCCAGCTTTGTCTTCCAGCAGCGCCAGCATTGCCAGCACATGAAGCCGTGCCAGCCCTCCCTCCCCTCACCCAGCACACGCGGCCTCCCACCGTGGCCCCAGGGGCCCAGCTGGCCTCACAGCGGAAGGCTCTGCTGGATCACGGGCCTTGACGCCTCACTTTGGAGGCGCTTCCTAGCTGGAGCCCGCCGAACCCCACAGGGCTCTCAGGGGAGACACCCAGCATTAGCCCTGTGTGGCCTAGACAGGCTCTGGGGCCCCATGAGGAGCACACTCGGGACCCGTCTGCTGCAGCCCTCAGACCAAACAGGAGACGAGGGGCAGCTTAGGTACTGTCCCGGCAACTGTGGCCTGGCTGTACCAGGACTAGTGAGGAGCTACACGGTTCTCTGACAGCCAGTAGTGCTAGCAATGAAGACTGGGGACAGCGGAGGCCATGCTTTCACCTGCCCTCTCAGAGCGGGGCGGGGGGGGGCCGCAGAGCTGGCCAGACCTCCCTCATGCCAGCCCTCGGGCCTTCCACTTGCTTACAGAGGGCAGGTGACACAAAAGGGGACAGAGAACTTCCTATACATGGGCAGGGCCCCCAACCCCTCCAGACCTTGAGTCCCCATGGCAAAGGGTCTCAGCTGGAGCTGGCCTTGAAAGCCACTGAGCTTCTGCACAGCTGAAGGGACCCTGCAGGATCGGGGACCCTGCGGGATCGGGGAGGCACTGCCTGGGAGGCCGTGGCTCATCGGGCATGCAGGCCGGGAGTCCACACAGAGGCGGCTGACGGCTGAGCAGGGCTGGGCAGGGGCCCACAACGCAAGTCCCTCCCGGGTGTGCCACAATGAGAAGGTGGCACGCCGCTGCGTCCCACCCTAGAGCTGCAGCCCAGACTTAGAAAGCCAAAGCCAGGAGAGAGGAGGGGCAGACGGAGCTCTCGAGGGCAGGCCTGCCCACGGAGGACACAGCGCCCTTCAAGGTAGATGTCCACCAGGAGCCGCAGGGGCAGGCGCCTGTCTCTACCCAGGCTCTGACAACAGGCACTCAGGGCCTAGAGTGCAAACAGGAGACAAGGTCCCCCAGCACCCTTGGTAAGACCTGGGCCAGGCCCGCCCCACCAGACAACTGCTTCCCGGTCCACAAATACCCCAGAAAGTCCAGACCAGCTGGGAGAGCTTCAGTGAGCCCCACGTGTGGGCCAGGGTTCCAAGTCCTGCAGAGGACCAGCACCCACAGAGCCTCTGGGAGCCCAGGGAACCCCACAGACCGTCACCGGGAGCCAGCCAGCCCTGCGCCAAGCCTAGACACACCTCACTGCAGGCAGGGGCCACTGCCACCGCCAGACCCAGTATGGGCCAAGTGGGGAGGACCCAGCCCACGCGGCCAACGGGCCAGCAGGGCGACAGCAGACCCTGAAGAAGAGAAGCCGAGCCCACATAGAACGCCACAGTGCAGAGCAGAGCCAGGCCAGCTAGAGGACCCGCTGCGGAGAGGCTCGGCTGACAATAACCTCCCAGGTTATTGGGCTCAGGTCTGTCAGAACTGAGCCCAGCTGAGCTGGCTGAGGGTCTGGCTTAGACCCACGTTCTGAGCCTCTTCTAGGGATGAAAGGGAGCAGCTTCCTCAGGCAGGAACAACACCCCCCCACACACACACACCCATCCTCCCGAGACCCCAGCCCAGCACTCACCTGGGGGCTGCCTGTGCCGAAGCCCAGGGTGGGTGTCGTGGGCACCGACATGGAATGCGGGCCCATGGGGGAGCTGATGACCGAGAAGGGTGGGCCCATGCCGTTGATGGGCGAGCTCAGGGTGCTGATGGGTGAGTGCAGCTGCCCGGGGGAGCCCAGTGGGGAGCCGAGGCCAGGGCCCAGGGACGGGTGCAGCGAAGGGGCAGCCATGGAGCCTCGGCCCGTTGGGGAGTTGAGGGATGAGGAGTTCACCTGGGTGGAGAAGTCTGTAAGACAAGATCAGCAGGAGGTTGGGTCAGAGCAGCCTCCAGGCTCCCAGCCCAGCCTGCTCACTCAGGCTACAATCAGGCCTGCAGAAGAACCCACCCCGAAGGTGTCCAGGCTACACGAGGCTGGAGCTCCCCACCCAGGCACTGTCCATCCTGGCCCTGGCTTGGCCTGGCCAAGGTAAGGCAGGAAACACACAAGGACAGCTGCGCTCAGGAGACAGAAGAGCTGAGCTGCTGTCCCAGGACCTGACCACCAGAGAAAGCTGTGCCCCAGGGGTGGGAGGAGGGCTCGAGGTGAAGGTCCGGAATAAGCCCACCCTCCAGTCATGACTGGCATGTCACAAAGGACTCAGGTTCATTCCAGATGAGGAGGCAGGGCCGAGTTCGTACAGCTGCCTGTGCAGAGCCTGGACCAGCACTGCGAGCTGACCACTCCAAGGCCCTACTTACCAGGGCAGCAGAGATACCTGGCAGTGGCAGCTCAAATGCCAGGTCCCAGAGACGTTCTGCTCCAGACCTGAGTGGGTCTCATGGGGCTCCAGGAGCAAGAGGGGACCAGAGGAGGAAGGGAGCACCTGGCACTTCCCACCTGGGCGAGGGCCCGGGCATGCACCAGGCATGAGACCAGCAGCCCACAAAGCAAGGTTGGGGCGGGGACCTCCCACAAGCCAGCCTTTCATGCAGGATTTCAAAGACCAGAACAAGCAATTAATATCCACCCGGGTGGCTCCCCAGGCTCCCAGGAGGTGAATCCACTGCCCAGGGACCACGGAGACAGGGAGGAGCACGGCAGAACCCAGAAGCACCAGCCACGAGCTCTGCCGACAGGCCAGGCGCTCTGGGAAGCTCAGTCGCCCTTCTGGACCTTGACTTTCAAGGTTCAGCAGAGTCCCGGTCCTTCCTGCTGCCTTGCTTGTCGGAGATGACATGCTCCTCCAGTAAGTCGCACAGAACACTGGCGTAAGGCATGGCTCTGATGAACACATGTGCCCCAGGCTGCGTCACACCATACTCCAGGAAGACCTCGCCACCCTGCACCGAACTCCAGAGGCCATGTCCTAGCCTCACGCTGTGCAGGAAGAAGCCCTGAGCGGTCAGTCAGGGGATGTGTCACCAGCCTTAGGATGCCACTGTCACCATGGACCTGACACTCTGATCAGGCCTGATGCTCACTCAGCATTGCGAGCCTGAATGCAGCGCAGCCTGTATGCCCCTGGTAACCCCAGCAGTTGGGCCAATGTTAGCTCGAGACATGGAGGTCCCTGTGCCAGGACCAGGCCCTCCCAGAACCCCGGCCTGGCCCTATCCTCCAGCTCCTGGCACTTCATCCTGTGTCCCCTTGTAGGCAAGGGGACCCTGGCTCCAATTTATGCAGGTCTACCCCGCCTGCCTGCCACAAGTGTCCTATCTGACTCAAGGGACAGAGCTCACTGGAAAGTGTCAACTGACTCACTGGAGACTTCTGTCATTCACCAAAGTGGGAATAAACCATTTGTTTGAACTTTAAAACACCAATTTAAGGAATCTGGAACCAGATGGCAGTGGCACCTACTGGCTAAGATGGGTACTGCAGACCAGCCCTATTAGCCAATACACTCTGGGACAAGGTGGATGCTACGTATGCCAACATGAACCCAAGGAAGGCCTCCATGTGCAGGGAAGGCCTGGCTGGGGGTCGAGGAGAGGGAGGGCGCAAGGGAACAAAAGAAAATGAGTGCACCCAAGAGAAACAAACCCAAACCCAGCTGCCCATAAGAACTTGAAGTTCTTATAACTGTCCAAGAAGCCATTACCATCACCATCCAAGGCAGATAAGGAAACTGAGGCACCAAGACAGAAAGTGCCCCAAAGTCCAGTTCCTTCGACCTGTGGCCACTACAGCCCAAGCAACACTGCCAGTCCACTAGCACTGGAGGAACATCTAGAGAATCACCAGGCTTTCTGCCTCACCTGGAGGAAAAAACCTGGGCCAGCCATTCCATTCCCAAGCCTCAGTTTCCCCATCAGTGAAGTGCAGAGAGGTATGTAGCCCTGTGCAAGAGTTCTGACCACAGAAGGAAAGATCAGGGGAGGGAAAAGCCAGGGCACACCCATGGGTCAGGAGGACTTGCTCCCTCCAAGCTGAGCCCTGGATCCCCTCTTAGTGCAACCAAGAGATTGTCCCCCTGCTGATTGAGAGCAAGAGAGACAGAGGTGCAAGTTGGCTCCTGTCCACTTCAGCTCTACAGACTTTGCAGGGAAGGGCAAGGCAACCAGATGGGTATATAGGACAGGCCAGAATGGGCAAACCAGACAGGCCTAGAAAGGCCCACTTATGGCCCCTTTCCTCCTTCCTTTTGGTCTCTGAGAACAACTTGAGGGCTTATGGCCAGGGGGATACACTTTTCAGATTCTTCCAGCTTCTCCATGCCCCTTCTCTGGACAGAATGAGGTGAAATGAGCCCGTGGACATGGAACTAGGGAATCCTGGGCCAGCTGCCACATAACCCAGGGGGTCCTTCCTAGCTAGCTGTCCCCAGTTACAGTGCAGGCCGCCATGCCCACCACAAGGGAGAGTTGCTGCCTAGGAGTGCAGGCTCGGGGAGGAAAGCGGACCTCTCAGCATGAGACTCCAGGGGTAACCTGTGCCACGCAGGGGATTGGGACTGGGAGGAGGCCTCTTCAGCTGGGCCTCTTGGACAGTCGTGGCCTGAGCTGCCAGGCTGGTTCTGGGCTTGCTCGCTCTCCCCAACAGGAAGAGGAGGGTGTGGCAGCCGAAAGCTGCAGGGAAAATGAAGGAGGGAAGGAAGGAGGGAGGGAGGGAGGGAGGAAAGGAACCAGGCTACTTAACTGCCAGCTACCAGGGTGCACATACGTTCCCCTGCGACCCCCCCACCCCGCCCCAAAACACCATCCATACCTAGTCCATTTGAAACCACTTAGGAGGGACTCCAATCAGATGGAATAGGACACTGACTAGGAGGAGTGCAGACCAATCAGATGCAGTAAAACACTAGCCAAGAGGAGTGCAGAAAGGGATTTCAGGAAGAAGGTGGGACAATAAGTATGCAAGCCTGAACAGTTTCCTCCACCCTAGGCCACCCCAAGGGCCTACTGGTGCCGGGCCAAGGGTCCCATAATGACTGCTCCAAGTAGCCCCCAGGGCTCCAGGCCCACAGGAGGTGTCCACCAGAACAGTGCTGGCCTCTGCGGGCCTGCACTGCCCCCAGGCCCCCCACCCCCCCAGGCCTTCCTGTTTACACAGAATGTCCACCACAGACACCTTCCCGGAGCCTGGGTAACAATGGGCTGGGTGTGTTTTCTGGAGCCTTTCAGAGAGAGACGCTTTCTGGCCAGGAAGGGACCGGGTAAAAATGTCTAAACATCCTCTCCCAGCAGAGTGAAGCCTTCCACCCGGGTTCCTCGTGAGTGCCCGCCTGGCTGCCCCACCTCCCGTAAGCCACGCTGCGGACTAGAAGGAAGCCTGGCACCACCTGGCCGCCACCGCTCAGGCTGTCCCTGCGGGGCACAGGCGCGAGCCCGCAGCGAGTGAGCCACTCTCAGACACCCCCAAAGACCTCCCCACAAGGACCTCCGGAATGAGGCCAGAGAGGCAAGACTCATCGCTGGCCCCACACCCCACCACCTCATACCCCTTGCCCCTCCCTGCAGGACCACCAGTAAGCCGTGACCCTGGGCGGGAGGGGGTGGCCAGGGAGCTCACGGGGACCTGGGGGGACTGAGGGGAGAGGAAAGCCACCCTGGCCCTGGCTCTGGAGAGATGTCCCAGCCCCACAGGGCTATTAGGCTGCAGTCCAGAAAGGTAAGCAAGAGACAACAAAGAATCCCTCCCCCCAACACATGGGTGCAGAGAGGCAGGGTAAAGCCGAGGTGGGACAGCCCCCGTCCAGGGAAGTGTGCCCTCAGCGGCGAGGGAGGGAGTGTGGTGGCCTGGGCGGCCCCTGGTGCCAGCTGCTCCCAGCGTTACCCGTGTGGGAAGGGGTACCTACCCCAGGGCTCCTGAGCCCCACGCCCGTCTCCTTGCGGATCACCCACTGCTAGGAGTCTCCTGTGACTGAAGGAGGGTGATCCCCCAGGCTTCCAGCCCTTCCTGAAGGGGAACCTCAAAATCCCCACCGTCCCTTGGAACTGCCGAAGCAAGCACAGCAAGCACCGCGCAGGCCGCAGGCCGCAGGCAGGGCGAGAAACTGGCCACAAGGCCGCTCAACAGAAAAGGGCAGCGGGCTCCCTGTCCCCTCCAGAGTGGAGGGCCAGCTCGGGATCCAACAGGAAAGCATGTGGGAATGGGGGGAGCCCAGGGCTAGGGTGGCCAGGGCTCCCATGAGGGATGAGCAGGTGCCCTGCACACATGGAAATGGGGACAGCCCAGGGCTGGGGTGGCCGGGCACCCATGAGGGATGAGCAGTGCCCCGCACACAGCCAGGCCAGAGACGCAGGATGAGCCAGCACCAGACAGGAACTGGGCTCTGAGCAGTGCCCCCGCACCTGACTGGGGACTCCCCCGGAACTGAAACCCTGAGGCAGGCGGTTAGTGGGCCCCCACCTTCCGGAAGTACTGCTTCCCCTGCCACTGAGGAGGGAGAAGTGGCCGCCCTGGCGGTGAGTGATGGGGACGTGGTAAGGGCCATGGGGACGGGGCGTGGGGAGGCCACGGGCGGGCAGAGCAGGGGATGGAACGCCATGGCCCCACAGGAAGGGGCGCTCCTGTAAGGGGCAACGGCCGGTGCTGGCTGCGGTGCACATGGCTGCTGCCCAGCCTTGGTTCCACAAAACCCACCGCTCCCCGGCCAAGGGACCCCGGCAAGCCCTTAGATTGCCCGAGCCTCAGTTTCCCCTTCTGTAACATGGGCATCCAACTGTGGAGGCATAGTGACCCTCCCCGGGCACCCCGCTGCGGGAGCCGGCGGGGGCTTGGCAGGTCACCTCCAGCAGCCGCGAGGCCCACCCACTGCCTCTGCGCTCAGTGTCGGCTTACAGCTCAAGTGGCCTGCACTGAAATTTCAGCTCTTCTGGGGTCAGTCTGACCTTTCCCCACCAAGGGCCGCAAGCCCCAAATCTGCTAGGGGCCAGCCGACAGTCAAGAGAAGCCTGGGCCTGCTTCTAACCCTCCCCTGCCCCAAAGCAGGGTACAAGGCGCCTCATGATGAGGCCCCCAAGGAGAAGCCTCAACCGGCCAGAGGAGCTCATTCCACTCTCCAGCCCAGGCTGCAGACCTAGTCCCCTGCCCTGTGTCTGCAGGGACCCAGGTCCCAGAAGACAGGGAGGAGGGAGGAGCGGGTACCATGAAGCTGTCTCCTCCCCTCCCTCCTCCTCCTGCAGACACCCACAGGCACCCAGCAGGCTTCATCCCCAGCAGACCCACAGAGACTGGCTGGCCCAAAGCACCGACAACACCCGCTCTGCCCCTGCCCCTCCCACCCTCCCTGATGCAGGCAGTGGGGAGGGGGGGGCAGGGAGAATAGGCAAAGGCCAGCCCGTGAGGGGGCCAGAAGGGCAGGGGTAAAGAGGGAGCAGGTGAGGCGGACACAGGCAGGCAGGCCAAAGTGAGACAAGACCCTCCTGAGGGAGAAGCAGAGATTTCTCTCCTTGCTGGACACGTCAGCACAGTCGCATCTCGCCCGGGACACCAGGGAGGCAGGAGTGCCCAGGAGCTGAGCCTCACTGTGGACAAGCTCCTGCCAGGGCTGCGGAGATGAATGTTTCTGAGAGCCTGAGGCGTCTGGACCTTGGCCGTGAGCCTAAGAGGACCAGGCCAGGGCAGGGCACGGGACTCCTGCCTGGCCACTGCCCCATGGGCCCCCCCCTCCCACTCTCTCCAACTTCAAGGCCCTCAGAGCCCCTGATGCTAAGCCCACCTTACTGGTCATTAGCCATGACGGCTCCATGACTCCCTCCCCAAGGGGTGCCACACACTGGGCTCTGCTTGCTTATGCACACGCCCTACCTCCGGCTGCAATCGCCCTTTCCCCAGGGAAGTGGGAGCCAGGGTGTGAAGTGGAGGCGAGGACCCCAGGTGCCGCCGAGGGCCTCTGGCTCCTGACGAGGGAGGAGCACTACACCACTGTGATGGACGCTGGCCGCGCTGCGGGTCCCCAGCAGAGTTGGGGGCAGGAGATGCTCTGGCCAGAACTCCCGAGAGACCTCCAGGAAGCGCGGCCCCACCTTGACCTTCTCTGGTCTCAGCCAGGGGACACCAACCTAAGACCCTTCAGTCCTAACATCCCAAACTCTCAGGCACCCCCCCTCCCCCAGCCTCCCCGCCCCATGTACAGAGCTTCACAGAGATGGCCCACTGAGGCCCAAAGGGTCCAACCCAGGGAAGTCATCTCTACAATAAAGTGCAAGACGGGGCAGTGTCTGTGCAGATGTGCAGCAAGCACACAGCAACTAACGTATCCTACCCCCATCTACCTTACCATCTCCATTATCATCACCACCATCCATTTTAATACCACCATCGTCACCATGGTAACCACAGACATCATCATCTCCACCATTACATCACCACCACCATCCCACCAACAACTTGCACATCATCATCATCATCATCATCATCACCAATGTTACCATCGCCATCATTACTACGACCGCCATCACTACAATCGCCAGTAACTTCAACAGCAGCAATAGCAACACCATAATCACCACCATCATTAATACCATCAGCATCAACTTCAACATCACTACCACTCTAATCGGCACAAGCAACATTACCATCACCACATTATCATCACCGTCACTGTCACCACTACCAATATCAACATCACTGCCATCAACGTAATCACCATCAGCAGCACATCACCACTGCTACTATCACCATCACCAGATCACTATCACCTCATTTCCTTCACCACCACCATTATCCCTGCACCACCACAATCATCACCATGGTCATTCACCATCTCCTGAGTGACCCCTCCCCCTGCCCCACTGTGTAGCTGGGAGACTACGGGCCCCGCAGAGGCTGATGGATTTTGCAAGCAGCACAGGGATAACTTTGGGTTCTCTTGGTCATACTAAGTGATTCTGGGGCTGGGCAGAGAGGAGGAACAGGAAGAGGCATCCAAGCTGGCAACCACCAGCCATACAGCCTTGGGGGTACTGTGGTTGGGCTTTGTGGGGACAGGCTTGGTTGGAGCCCAGCCTCGGTGAGGGAAGTGGGCAGTACAGCCAGGAGGAGGAAGGTGGGAGGAGGGTCTCTCCGTGACCAGGCAGCAATCAGGAAGAAGCAGAGTGAAATTGCCGCACACCTGGGCGCCAGGGCCAAGATCTCTGCACAAAGCCGCCCTTCCGTGCTCACAGCCCACGGCCCTGAAGCCCAGGCCCCTAGAGAGACTGCCAAGCAGTCCGCACAGTCTCACCCCTGATCTGACAGTCACCGTCATCATGGTCTCGGGGCTGTGAGGCTCTGGCAGACGCCCACGATGGTCACTGTTGGAGGTGCTCGGCGGCCCGAACCACTGCAGTACGGATGAGGAAGTGAGCCCTGGGGCTGCACTTGCTGCCAAAGTCAATTCTTCACATTCTAGGCATGTTGGGAGAGCAGTACTGGGAGCGCACCCTGGCCTCCCCTGGGCTGGGGGCGGGGAGGGGCACAGACAGTTCTGGCTGGACTCCTACCAGCCCCTTGACTGTGTCACGGCTTCCCTTTACCTGGGGGACAGGGGCGAGGAGAGCTGTGGGCGTGACACAGCTTCAAGGCCTGCTGCACACAGACCCCTGCCTGGCTCCACCCTGCACTCAGCACAGACACCCCTGAAGCCCCCCTCCACCCCCGGCTTGCCTGTGAGTTCAGGCTTCCCAGATCAGGCCACCGCTGGTTTCTTAGGAAGAGCTGACCCCTAACAGAGACCAGCAGGCAGGCCGGTCCCTGGGAATGCCACAGGGACCGTTCAGGGCAGTGGGCCTCAGAGACGCTTGGCCCAGGGCTGGGCCCCTGCCGCGGGTGTTTCTCCTCTGCCCACCCTGCAGGGAGGGAGGGAGGGGGCCTCAGCAGACCACCCCTCGGTGCCGGCTCATAGCCAGGGCCGGGGCGACCTGGAGAATGGAATCCTGACTGGGATCCAGGACGGGCCTCCACTATGCACAGGTCCTTTCAGGAGAGCACTGAGGGACCTCATTACCTCCCCACCCCCCCACCCCACGCAGCCCAGGATGGCCAGGGGGCAACAGACACCGTGGTGACCTCTCCAGTCTGGCCAGCACTGAAGGCATCGGGCCAGCACGGGAACAATGGCGCTCCGCTGGTACCCAGCCCTGGCAGGGGGCGCCAGGCAGAGATGAGCTTAGGGCCCCCAAGGTCCTGACAGCTGGCTTCTGGCCTCAAGGTGTGCCCTGCACAGTCTCGCCTCTCATCACAGACCTGCCGTCTGAGCTGGCACTGCGCCCTGCCAGTGGCTGGCAGATGCAGAAGCCAGAGAGGCCGGCCGATCCCGTCACAGAGGCGTGTGACCGACAGGGCGCCGAGGAGCTGCGTGAACCCGCTGGTGGTGTCCTCCCCAACGTGTGCCCCGCACGAGACCCATGATCCAGGAGCCTCTGGCACACACAAGGCAGGTAACCATCACCATCCCTAGAAACACAGGCTCTGCGGGGTGACAGAGACACACTTCAGTGGCCAACACTGTGGCTCAGATGCTGACAGGGCTGGCGCCGAATGACGCGCACTCCGGAAGGAAGTGCCTGCTGGGACCGCATGGTTACCCATCCCACAGAAGGGAAATGCCAGTCAGACCCAAGCTGAACCTCCTGCCTGTGTCCCCACCAAAGCTCACCCTCTCCCTTGGCCACGAGGTTTGGCGGGACTCACACACGGCCATGGGTGCTGGGAAGTCCTACGGTTACACCTAGGGGGTGGACGGCAGCCAGCAACCTAGGAGGAGGCTCACCTCTCTGAGGCCAGGTACAACCGCCTCCCTTTCAGTCTGTCTCCCCGACCTATCTCCAACACCGCCAACACCTCCGTGGAGCCCACCCAGACCTTCGAGGAGGTTGGGCGGGAGGAAGACGGGAACTGTCAGAGAAACCTCAACTGCCCCGCAGCTTCTGGGGGACGTGGGGGCCTCGTAGACTCTCGGGCAGTTTCTCTTCAACAGGAAAAGAAATGATTGTTTCGCTTTGAGCCGCATTGCTCCTGGTGCTTGGAAACCTCGCCACCCACCCACAGCTCTGTCGCGGAACCCGCAGGCCCTGCTCTGCTCAGCTCTGCTCTGCCCCGCCCCCGCCCTGGCTGCTTTCCAAACCCATTGTGCCCCTGACGGCCTGCTGCAGGGCCCGTGGCCACACCCTGCCCACACAGCGTGACGGGACTCCGTGCCAGGGACACAGGGACAGTTACGTCGAAGACTGGGGTTATCAGGGCAGACACCATCCCTGGGCCCCGCGTGGGGACAGCCCCTCCCAGGGACATCCCCGAGGCCTCCTGCTGCCTACTTGGCACCGCTGCTTTCCAGGCGCAGGCAGTGCCAGCCGGGGCTGCCTGAACAGGGGAGCCTGGACGGCAGAGCATCTGCCCTGCGCCACCGTCAGACACCAGGCCCTCTGGGGCCTGTCCCCACCACCTCACGAGCTCAGCCCATCCGGCACCCGCACCCTCCCTGGGCAAGGGCTTCCCACGCCCACATGACTTAGCAGCAACCAACGTGGGTGCCCGCCCTGCGCAGGAGCACAGCTGGCCGGCTTCTGCAGAGAGCAGGGACTCACCCATGAGGCAGATCGAGAATGGGACTTCCCCACTCACCACCCACAGCCCAGGGCCCCCCATCCCCACCCCCACAGGGACAGGGCCCACAGCACAGCTCACCACGACCTCACCCCACATCCTCACCCACAGCTAACAGAGCAGCCTCCACAGGACCCTCCTGCTCAGAGCCTGCTTGGGCTCCTCAGGGCTCTGAGAAGCCGCCGTAGCCCCAGAGTCCCAGGCTGGGCCTCGGTGGCTCAGTCCCCACTGTCCCAGCCCAGCTGTGCCCATGGGCTCCACTCCCAGATGAGAGACTCCAGACCCCTCACCACATGCAGGCCTGTGTTGGCTGGTTAGGTTCTGCACCCTTTCCTCCCCAGACCCTGGCCATGAGGGGAGGGCAGTCCACCCTGTACCAGGGAGGTGTGCCAAACCAGGGAAACGCAGGCAAGCACAGGGCCAGACCCCCACGCTCACAGGCACAACCTGTCCACGGATGCCACAGGCGGTCCTCATCCCCACGCTCACAAGTATAACCCATCCACGGATACGACCGACAGGCCTCGTCCCCACACTCATAGGTATGACCCGTCCACAGAAGCCACCAAGCCTTCTCCTCATCACAGAGCTGCTGTAGGCCCAACCTGCTTGCACCAAGCCCTTTCCTCCTCACCGGGGCTGCTGCAGCCCAGTGAACGAGGCAGGGGCTGGCGGGTGGAGTGGCCGGCAGCCATAGAATGCCTCTCTCCAGGCACTGGGTGACTGCGGCCTCCATCCACATGGCCCCTGACCCCTCTATACAGAGGAGGGAGTGGCCAAGCTCAGACCTGACCCTGGAGAATTCAGAACACCCTCCACACCACTGTCTCCTCACCACTGGCCACCTGGCAAGTGTCCACCACCATGCCATCACCAGAACAACCTCCCCATTATAACCTCTGTCCCAAGCGCCTGCCCCACCCAGCCACGCAAGTATGCAGTCTCCTCTCAGCCACCCACTGTCCCTACCCGCTGCCTTCTGGCCTGCCTGGCCTCGCCAACATGCATGCCTCCAAGTCCCCCATGCAACCCAGGGGCCAGGCCAGGGCTGGAGCTTGGTGGTAGAGTCCTGGGGAAACAGCCCAGCATGCCCTCCTCCTGGCCAGTTTCTGAACACAGGCCTACCACCCCTGTGTATTCTGGGACTGCCAGAGGGCATGGGGGCAGGGGATGGGCCAGAACAGGCCAGCCAGGTGACTGGCGTGGCCCTCCCAGGACTAGCTGTGCTGAGGCATCCGGGTGACTGGCCCCTCACCAGGGGGACTGGAGCCTCGTGAGAGAAGGGCCCACTGGGAGGGAGGCTTTGGTCACAAACCAGCAGCCAACATGCATCCTGACCTGGAGAAAGTGAAGGACATGGCCTCCGTGCCTAGCCGCGGGACAGCATCCCCGGAACGCTCTTAGAGGCTCCAAGACCACCTCTGTCCCAGCACTACAGCTCCGCTGCGCCCCACCCTCTTGAACTCACAAAAACCTGGACACCTGGGAGCCCTAGAAACTCCACAACACAGCAGACAAGAGTTTGGTGAAGTACCACCTCCCAGGGCAGAGATTAGAGGCAAGAGCACAACCCAACCCTCACCTACCCAGACGCAGAAAGACCACAGAAACGAGCCAAGAAAGCCTGACACACTTGAAACAGCTGTCGCCAATGCCACACATGCTGCCCCCCCCAGATGCCCTCAGTCACAGCCCAGTGACTCAACTCTGAACACAGTGCCCGAAGACGCCTCAGTTGGCTTCTCAAGGAGCCGAACAATCAGGAAGAGGTAAGTGTGGCAGCAAGAAGCATCTGACAGCAGCGCCAGAGAAAACTTAAAATCAGACAAAGGACACAGCAGCCGGCACGTGCCAGCTGCTGCCGAGGAAGCGCCACCTCCCGCGTGGAGAGCCGCGTGTAAGGAGAGCGTAGGCGTGGTCTGCACACACTGAGAGCACCTGGCCTGGCCACCAAAGGCCCACAACAACCCCCACCCCACGCACAGAGGCTGCAGCCACCCCACAGTTCCTGAAACACACACGCGCACCCGCACACCACGCCCCGCGGAAAACATGCCTCGGCTCCTCTTCAGAGGACAGGGCCGGGAAGAGCAGCCTGGAACTTTCTCTATAGACGTAATCATGAAAATTTTAGCACATCAGGATAGCAGTGACCCTGCCGTGGTGTTCTTCCTGCATCTGTTTTACAAAGCAGCAAACCAAAATTGTCTGCGGCCAGCGGGGATGAAGCCCTGCATGCAGCTCCCACCTGCTAGAGGGGCTGCTAGAGGAACCTGCTAGAGGGCTGTGAATGCAAGCCCTCATTCACGACAAAGCGGAACCTGAGCCCCAGAGCCGGTGTCCTCGGCCGCATGAAGCCCAGGCTCCGAGGCTCAGGCTCCCAGCCCCACCACCATCACACGCACACACACACACACACACACACGCGCGCGCGTGCGTGCGGCACTCATTTCCAGTTTCAGGCCAGGTGATACTTCCCACACAGCTTGGCCTGTCTGGTACTGAGGAAGATAGACAGAGCAGCTATTTAAAAGATCTGGAATAGAACCATGGTGGTATACACCTGTGACTTCAGCACTCAGGGGGCAGAGGCAAGAGGATGGTGAGTTCCATACCACCCTGATATACATAGCAAGACCCTCTGAAAAAGGAGGAGGGGAAGGGAGAGGGGAGGAGGAGGAAGAAGAGGAGAGAGAGGAGGAAGAAGAACAGGGAGAGGAGGAAGAGGAAGGGGAGGAGGGGGAGGAGGGGGAGGAGGGGGAGGGGGAGGGAGAGGAAGTGGAAAGTCCAGATGTAGTGGTGAATGGAAATCAGGGGGATCACAGTTTTGAGGCCATCCAGAACAAAATGTTATCAAAAACCCATCTCCATCAATGTGCCAGTCCCATCTATAAGCCCAAATACATGAAAGGCTATAGGTAGAACTATAGTTGAAATAGGCCTTGGACAAGAATGTGTGACTCTATCCAAAAAAATAACTCAAGTGAAAGAGGGTTAAGGGTGTAGCACAAGTGGTAGGGTGCCTGCCTAGTAGCAAGGCCCTGACTTCAAACCCCAGTACCACCAAAGAATCAAGGAATGAATGAGTGGGTTGATATGCCTCTGGCTGGCACCCTGGCAGCTACATCTGGATGGGTTCCTCCCTTAGTCACATGGCGGCCTCAGAAAAGCCCCAACTCTGAGCCCCCAGAACACGAGTACTGAGCACTCGGTGCCCTGGCAGTGAGCAATCTCCTCGTATCTCTGGATGGGACCCAGGAGTGCGGCGGGAGGCAGCAGGGCTCCAGCGGCAGCACACGGTACAGCCCCAGCTCCTCACAGCTACCTGGCCGCTCTGAGGGGCTGCCAAACCTCACCATACCCAGAAACCGCAGGTAGAGGAGAAGGCCAGGCCCACGAGGGATGGGGCCAGGCAAGCCGGGGTGGGGCCGGGCAGCCAGTCCAGGTGACCAGCTGCTCCAGGTGACCACCAAGAAGCATGTCGCCGCCCATCCAGCCCGGCCTCTCCTGTGAAACAGTCCCCAGCACCAGGGGTCCTGTCCAGAGCCTGAAGGCAAGGACAGCCACTCTCCTACTCCAACCCAGAGCCTGGACTTCTGGAAGTTTCTGATTTGAGGAAGAAAGTCTCTGGCTCAGACCCAGGGGAGGCCAGAGGGTCCAAGGTCTCAGCTCAGGCTGAAGGCACTGGCAGACGCAGGCGAGCACATGGGCACCGGCCACCCTGCAGGGCACCTGCTAGGCTCACTGCACGGAGCGTCTCTGTACCCTGCACCCTACAGACCCCCTCCCCCAGACCTCAGGGAGACCCTCCCTGGCCACGCAGCCCCCCCACGCAGCCTTAACCTGCCCTCACCTGCTGGCCGCCGGCGGTCCCCGGCACGCCAGGGCAGGGCCCCTTCAGAGAAGGAGGTGAGAAGGTGCAGCCGCATGGCCAGGGCAGGCGGGAGGGCCCACCACGGCAGCGGCCCCATCAGCTCCTGGCCCGCCGGCTCGGGGGCCCGCCGTCTCCTGCGATGCAGCGTGGCAGCTAGGCCCACAGCAGGAGCCGGAGGGAAGGCAAGGACGCGCCGGCCTCGAGGCAGCTGGGCACTTGCCGGGAGCCAGGACTGGCTCTGCCCCGTAGCCCAGTTCCCCTTTCCCAGGGCCCGCCCAGCCCACCACCCTCACTCAGACACCTGTGGCCACAGGCGGCTCCCAATGCCCGAAACCAAGGGCTTCTTGGAAGAGGACGATGGC